TCCCTCTCCCACTCCCCCTGCTTGTGTTCCCTCTCTTGCTGTGTCTCTCTCTGTCAAATAAAGAAATAAAAAAATCTTAAAAAAAAAAAAGATCCTAAAAGTGAACTAAGAATTTCTAAAACTAGGGAGAAAACTGGATTTAAGCAGAACAAAAAGTAATAACATGGAACTGCATGAACTGAAGAGGGTAAATGTAATTTTTATGACTTTCTGTTTAAAACATTGCTGACTTTTAAAAAAGTGCTTTGTTTTTCCAAATTAAAAAAAATACTCTTAAGCTTACTGATTTATAGCAATTTGATAAAATATACCTTTGTGAACAAATTAAAACATCTTTTGTCCCTACCTGATCCCTCCAGAATTCAGAAACTGTCAGTGAGTGTTCTTTTTTTTAAGATTTTTAACTTTTTTAAAAAGATCTTAGTTTTAAGTAATCTCTACACCCAACGTGAGGCTTGAACTCACAACCCTGAGATCAAGGGTCACATGCTCCACCGACTGAGCCAGCCAGGCATCCCGAGTATTCTTATATTTTTATGGCAATATATATTTGCATAAATTCAATAAGAATCCGTATTCCTTATAGCAGGACACAATTGGAAACATGGATTATATGACATAATTGAAAACGAAAGACTGGTTGCCTCCATTTTGACCTCAAACTTTCTAGTTGGGTTCGTTTTCCGGCTTATCTCTTGGCTCAGGCAGATTTTTTTTTAAGATTATTTATTTATTTGAGAGAGAGAGAGTGTGCGAGAACATGAGTGGGGGGGTAAGGGCAGAGGGAGAGGGAGAACAGAGCCCGATGTGGGGCTCGATCTTAGGACCCTGGGATCATGACCTGAGTCAAAGGCAGATGCTTAACCGACTGAGCCACCTAGGCACCCCTATATTTCCCGTTTTGATTTGAAAATAAAAAATGAGATTTAAGAAATCCAATCCAGTATGAGAAATATTTAATACTACATAAAACAACCACAAGTAGATTAAGGTTATAAGTAGGTTGCTAAAATAAAAGCCTGATTGATTTCCCTTTAGTAAGGAAGATCCTTTGAGATCCTGTGTGTTGATCTCCACAGAGCTTGCATGTTCGAAAAATGTGCTACTGGTGTTTTTGTAGACACGCAGAGGGAAGTCATTTAGTATATTCAACAACTTTACTTTTCAGGTTGCGTCCAATCACCTTATGCCTCCAGTGTCCAAAGTGTGCTA